TTTTTTTTGCCCCTGGAACACCTTCGTACGACCGTCGTCCGTATGCCCGTACGGGCGTACATCCGTCCGTCCGTACGGGCCGTACGGAGACCCCCCGTACGACATACGGGGGACGACACAGGTTTCGGTGAATACTCATTTATAGAACTATAAGTCGTTTTCAACAGTTTGGTAAAAACCAAGTTCTGTAAAAATTAATTTATAGAACTATAAATTAATATAAGTTATAGTATATAACCCATTTTAAAGTTTATTGTCAAATCCTTGTCAAAAAATATATGTTATGTAGAAGAAGAATTCAAACAACTTTTGCCTCGAGGACATCTTCAAATTCTTAGCCAACCACGATTTAAAATTAAAAAATGGAAAAATATGTTAATAAAAAAGTTTAAAAAAATTAAAAAATACAAAAAAACAATATATTTGTCCATGTATGAGAGAACATATCCAAGAGAATATATTCTTGAATAAGAGAATATATGTGCATGTTTGGGAAACCCCCGAATAGGTTCATCGTGCTACATACCTTATAGAACTATAAATTTGATTTTTTTTAATTAAAAAAAAAAGGATATTTCGATTCTTGAACAAACGGTGCTTTGCAAGGTAGTGATTTTTTGTAAAAAGACTTGCTTCTCTCCTCACCACTTCTAGTGGTTTTTAAAAAGTACTTTCTTATTCATTTTTTGCGGTTAATTTACTTCCCATAGAATGTTCTTCATGTAGGAGGCATGAAAAATGTATTATCTGAACCTTTAAAAAATTTCGTGCAAACCTATCAAATTTTTTTTTTAGGTTTTCATGAATTCTATGTTAACCCCGTTCCACCTCAAGTGTTTCATCTACGAGGCGATCGACTGCTTGAACGACGAGAGAGCGGAGGTTAATCGGATATCCTCCAATGCTTGTCACATCTTTTCGGAAGTGGGAAAGATGATTACCACGATCCTGCCATTTGAAATCGAACCGAAGGGAGTGCTCACCGACAACGAGGAGGTTGTTGGTACGGCGAGGGGGATGAAGATACAGACAATCATTCTTGATATGTCAACATTCCGTGGGATGATGACGCATGTTCCAAACTGCACGCTTTCCTCATGACATGCTGTGACGAAAACTGGACCTTGATCATTTTCGCGCTGATGAAGCACCAGAAACAGGTGATGTAGAGTGTGTACAAGTGGGACGATGTTGAGGTGCTCACTAGGTCATGGTACAGACACTACACACTTCGACAACCTTGAACAAGTACGACAACATTGCAATTCGGTACACTGACATGATGGTTATTGTCCTCCACGCCGAGAACGACAATTTGAACAATATAACGGTTGCGCCAAAATTGCGAGCCGAGTTGACAAATTTGAAAATTGAAGAGGGTGAATTTGTGAGGTGCTCAGGGGAGTGTATCGGCGTGGAGGGCGACACTGATGCGGTTTATTCTTGGATGGAATGAGAGCCTGCACGTCTCCGAAAGCTATGCAGCTCGTTCATCTGGGAGGATGATGGCGTGATGTTGCTGGGCAGGGCGCATGTGGGACTGATTTGGGAACTGGCTCGCGCCGGACACCACGTGTTTGTGTGTGACGACACGACAAAAGAGCTCACATACCTTTCCAAGTTTTTGGAGTTCTATGTGAAGGATCCAAGGAACAAATGCAGGTTCGAAAAGCCCCGAGTCGAGCACCGCAAGGACCGGGACATATACTATAAGCTCGGTAGAAAGAGGGAGAAAGTGTGGGCTTACTTGTTCGGTGATGCTCCACAGTCGTAGTTGATAATGACTACGTCATCAGGAAAAGCGAACTCGAGATAGCAATGAACGAGTACCACGGCTCGCACATGGGTGCTTTCCACATGTTCGTTGCACGTTGTGAGCATCTGTATTTGAATATGAAGAAAAGAGCACTGTCAAGTCGGGACTATGCAGACTTGGCACGTAAAGCCGGCAACTTCAACAACATCGATTGTGAAGAAGACACGTCAGACTCCGACCTGGACGTCCCGTCGCGCGCAGCGCAAGGTGCGGCGGAGGGAGCGCGTGGCGAGGAGCCGCAAGGGAGCACCAACGGACCTGCGGAGAAGGCGAGTTCGAGTATGGGAGCGACACGTGCGAGTGAGGGAAATGTGGAAACAAGAATGACTGCAAGGGGAGAAAGAAATGATGTACCAACAAACCCGGTGGGTGCGAGTGAGGGGATAGTTAACTCACAGGGCAACACAGGGGGAGGAGAGAATGGGTATGCAATGACCCCGCCGACGGTTGGACCATCATCGACACATGCACCGCAGGCCGAGCAGCGAACACTCACGTCCATGGACACCGATGAAGACGAAGAGTTGGATATGACAGCACTCACACCGAAGTTCAAGCAAGGATAACCGTTACCTCGAGGCTTTGCTCAAGACCCTTCAGTGCCATACTTGTTGCAAGACAAGTACAAAGAGACATCGGAGGAGGATTAGGGTCATCATATTCTCTGGCATGAGGGTGTGTTCGAACCGTGCGTGTTTGCAGGCAAGTGGCAAATGGTTGTGAAGACAAGAGACCGAGGGTGGGTCGCGAAGGAAAAAAAGGACGTTGCGATATGGCACAACGTGACGGAAACGCAAATTTACCGGCGAGTTTTGAAAGAAAATGTCGGTGCAAGCAAGGAGGCTATAGCGGCAAAGGCGAAAGCTTTGTCTGAGCATCTGCGTGCGCACAAACAACTAGAATTCAGCACAAAGCTCTACGACCTTGCATCAAGTGTGTCGTACGGCTCCATCAATTGGAAAATCGAACATGCTTTAACAGTACAAGGAATGGATAGCACCAACTCTTTGAAGACTCAAGACATTATCGCATCTAACACCATCATTGCGATTGCCAGAGGGGATGCAGCCTACGAAACGGACACACGTGCGAACGCAGGTCACATGCAGAATGAACAGTTGCGAGCATTTGCTCGACAAAGCACACAGAGAAGCGCAATGGG